CAATACTGCATACTTGTCCATTGTACCACAATCAACTCTTCCTGCCGAATTCATCTCAGCCTATGCCAGACTGCCGCAATCCATCGCTGTTGAATTCTATGCAGTATGTTTCTCGTTGGTGCATCCTCACACCTAGAGTTAAACCATGATCTCTCCATCATCATAGGTATGAAACTCTCCCATCTTGGTCCCAACATGACTAGAGCCCATCTCTGCCATTGTTCTGTCTTCTTCACCCTGCATTGTCCATCATCAAGGTCTCCCCGTTGAAGACACCAATTCTGCCTCCCCCAAGGCAGTAAAGTCACCAAAATCTTCGCAACTTTGTCTTGCCATTCGACCAAGTCTTCATCAACTTCGTCATTGGATTTTGCTTCCCACACCCTAACCATTCCTTCGTCAAGATGATGCACAAAAATCCCCCAAGTTCTGCCCCCACAAGGCAGTAAGCAGGGCCAGACAGCATCCTCACCGATATACTGGCCCATGACGACTGAATTCTATCTCGGTCATCAAGCAAACACATAAGATTTGCACATGTCACATCCCTAACACCATCTTCCACACTGACAGCATCAAGGTTTCCCTTTGTTGGGCAACCATCCCATACAAAGTAATTTTCCATTGCAAGAGAAAATTAGTGTAAATTCAGTTTTGAACCCTTACCAATTTGCCTTCTCGTCTGACCTTCCATCATCAGCAGCAAGTTTGGGCTCTCTCCCACTGAATTGCCCCTTCTCTTTCGTCTCACCCTTCCCTTTTAGGTTTCGACGAAAATTTTAGAAACTCCCAGCAATCCCATCGCTGGCACTTGTTCTCTCGTCTGCCATTCCATTGACATTTCAATGGCCGAATCAGCATCCACTTTGATCTGATCCCATGTCATTACTTTGCGTTACCCACAAATTCGTTAAGCCACCCCACTCTGCAAGTCTTTGAACATCAATCCTGCCCAAAATCCGCTCGCAAGTTTTCCTCAGAATGGCTTCCAGCAAATCAGCCCTTCGATCTGCCCCACAGAACCCTTTAGCATCTGTGCTACGAAACAGCCCATCGTTTCGTCATGAACGCAAACTGCGCTCTATCCTCAAGTTTCTGCCAGTCCATCAGCAGCAACAATGTTTCTCCCAAATCAGTCTCATCGATTGGTCTTAGAGAATCAACAGCATTCTCATCGCTGATCATTGCACTGAAATTTGCCTCTCCATCGGCATAAGTTGTAGCCCTCCCAAATCAGTCCGTTGATTTGGCCGCAGAATCATTCTCACTGTTCTGCCAAGAAAGCAACCATGCTCTGATACCAGTTGTCACGGGGTAATTTTTCGCTACGCGAATAAACCCGTGCGGCAGCCTAGTCCCTCGCTAGACTCAGCCTTCCCTCGTTTATCCACTCGTGTTTGCCTATTAACTAAGTGTTTCCCTCACCCGAGAGGTTTCCCCACTTTCCCATGTTAAAGACAAGCGGAATACACAAGTAGAATTGCTCTTAACCAAGCACACTGAGATTACAAGAATACCTCTCAACCTTTATTTATCTCATTAACAAAGGATTACACAACGTGTGCTATGCACAGAATTCGCATGCTACACCAACAAGTTTACATACGTTATTTCCTCTCTATGCATTCTATTCTCTATGTATTCACCCTATACAACAAAGAATTACCATCACCATTTATAGCCAAGTATGTGAGCTACAGGGCACCTCCATGATCCCCATATTTCAGGACATAATAGGTACTTACTCCCCCATGATCCCCATGATCATTTGTGGCTCACCCATATCCCCATTTCTAGGATATAGTGGAGAACTTCCTCCCCCCATGTGCTTCATGATTTCAGCAACTTGGAAACACCCCAGTTATGCTCCCACTTTCTGCATGCTTGCCTGGCAGCTCCATCTGCCAGCCCTAGCTTCATCTGCTGCTGAATCACCCACATGCCTTGGACAGTCCCTCGTCCAAGTTTTAGATCTTGCTAAGTCAAGCCCCTGACTTACGCAAGCTCTTGTGCGCTGCTAAGCGCGCACCCTGGGTACGGTCGCCAAATACTGCGATGCCAAATCCGCATCTGCGTGCAGACCCCCATGTCTGCGCTGCCGAATGCACATCTACGTGCAGGCTGTCCAATCTTGCACTGCCCCATTCGCTTCTGCGTGCAGGCCCTAAATCCTGCGCTGCCGAATTCACAACTGCGTGCAGGCCCCAATTCCTTCGCTGCCGAATTCGCAACTGCATGCAGGCCCCAAATTCCTGCGCTGCCGAATTCGCATCTGCGTGCAGGCCCCAATTCCTTCGCTGCCGAATTCGCATCTGCGCGCAAGCTCCCAGTGTCTGCGCTGCTGAATTCCTTGACAGCCCCAATTCTCGTCCGCCCATATCCCAGACGAGTTTTCCTGTCTCGCTTGGACATTCCATCGCCAAGCCCATAGACATCACCAATCCGTGCTGCCGCATTCCTCGACAGCCCCAGTCCTCGCCAGCCTATGCCCCTGACGAGTTTCCTTGTCTGGCTTGAACATTCCATCGCCAAGCCCATGTTTGTCAACATCCTGCGCTACCCCGCATTTCTCGACAGCCCCAGTTCTCGCCAGCCTATGCCACTGACGAGTCTTCCATTCTGGCTTGGACATTCCATCGTCAAGCCTAGCATTCTGTGCTGCCGATGTTTCCTTTGACAAACTTACAGCCGCATAAATCTGCGCTGCTAATATATCCCATCGTTGGCATGGCTGCCAGCACCCTTAGGCCTGGTATTGGACAGCATGCCTTAGGTGTGCACCCCGTGCACATTTAACACTGTAACAAACCACCCCCACCAAAAGAACCCGACGCCCTCGTCGGACAGATTTGAAGTACCCTTTGCTCCGCATCTGTTCCTTGTCACCCTCCATGTACGTCCCCATGAAGTCTCTCTCTGGCTTCGTCCACATTCAACAACAATTCTATCCACCGAATTTCATCAACCTGTTTCAAAGCCAAACTGTGACACGTTCTGTTTTTGGCTCGTTGGTTTTCCACAAATGTTAAACCCATTATACTTGCAAGCATGTTTTCGCAAAGTTTGGATGCTCCATCTAGCACCCGAGGAATCTGTCCCTTCCTTCACAAAATACAACCATACAAAACCCCCGCCAAAGAATCATAAGAACTCCCATATGAACCCATCATTCCTCAACTGTTTCATATTTCACCTGCAATTAACCAAAATGAGACACTGCAGTTGGCTCTAGTACCAACTCCATCCTTTGATCAACTCCATCTCATGTCGAAGTGTTTCGGCAAGGTCCTCAGTCCATCTGCAACCTACCATAGCACAAACACATAGCATCCCAGCATCAAAATTTGGTCTGACCTGGTTCCCCCATGCGCTACTGTCGTGCCCTCGAAACTTCATCACCCCCACAAGACTTCGCTGACGCAAAATAGCCCCTATTGTTTTCCACCTGCGCTGCATGTTTCGTCCACCGAAAACTCACAACACTGTATCTCAACAAAGGCCACTAGCGTTCTGCTTCTATCACTGCAACCATCCATTGTCGCAAAGCATAGAATAGCCACCCGTACTGCCTCCAAGACAGCACTCAAAATCATCTTCGTCGACAATCTTGACTTCCCAGCCGAGCCCACTTGAATCGGCTGTTGAATCTGTCACCTAGACAGTTCTTCATCATGTGCAGACTCTTCAGACACACCCCTACGGTACTGCCTCTTCGATACTGCCTCCTCTATGATTTGAGACATACCCCCACGGTACTGTCTCCTCTATGATGCTTCCCCTCCAAAGCAACACACCAAACTAAGTCCATCTAGTTCAGCTCCTCAACCAAATCCCTCAATGACTTGGTTGCCGAATTCTTCACCTCAATCTGTCCTCTTCGTCAAGGTGCCTCGAATTCCCGATACCACAAGTATTACATTGCAATACTGCATACTTGTCCATTGTACCACAATCAACTCTTCCTGCCGAATTCATCTCAGCCTATGCCAGACTGCCGCAATCCATCGCTGTTGAATTCTATGCAGTATGTTTCTCGTTGGTGCATCCTCACACCTAGAGTTAAACCATGATCTCTCCATCATCATAGGTATGAAACTCTCCCATCTTGGTCCCAACATGACTAGAGCCCATCTCTGCCATTGTTCTGTCTTCTTCACCCTGCATTGTCCATCATCAAGGTCTCCCCGTTGAAGACACCAATTCTGCCTCCCCCAAGGCAGTAAAGTCACCAAAATCTTCGCAACTTTGTCTTGCCATTCGACCAAGTCTTCATCAACTTCGTCATTGGATTTTGCTTCCCACACCCTAACCATTCCTTCGTCAAGATGATGCACAAAAATCCCCCAAGTTCTGCCCCCACAAGGCAGCAAGCAGGGCCAGACAACATCCTCGCCGATATGCTGGCCCATGACGACTGAATTCTATCTCGGTCATCAAGCAAACACATAAGATTTGCACATGTCACATCCCCAACACCATCTTCCACACTGACAGCATCAAGGTTTCCCTTTGTTGGGCAACCATCCCATACAAAGTAATTTTCCATTGCAAGAGATAATTAGTGTAAATTCAGTTTTGAACCCTTACCAATTTGCCTTCTCGTCTGACCTTCCATCATCAGCAGCAAGTTTGGGCTCTCTCCCACTGAATTGCCCCTTCTCTTTCGTCTCACCCTTCCCTTTTAGGTTTCGACTAAAACTTAGAAACTCCCAGCAATCCCATCGCTGGCACTTGTTCTCTAGTCTGCCATTCCATTGACATTTCAATGGCCGAATCAGCATCCACTTTGATCTGATCCCTTGTCATTACTTTGCGTTACCCACAAATTCATTAAGCCACCCAACTCTGCAAGTCTTTGAACATCAACCCTGCCCAAAATTCGCTCGCAAGTTTTCCTCAGAATGGCTTCCAGCAAATCAGCCCTTCGATCTGCCCCACAGAACCCTTCAGTATCTGTGCTACGAAACAGCCCATCGTTTCGTCATGAACGCAAACTGCGCTCTATCCTCTAGTTTCTGCCAGTCCATTAGCAACAGCAATGTTTCTCCCAAATTAGTCTCATCGATTTGTCTAGAGAAACAACAGCATTCTCATCGCTGATCATTCCACTGAAATCTGCCTCTCCATCGGCATAAGTTGTAGCCCTCCCAAATCAGTCCGTTGATTTGGCCGCAGAATCATTCTCACTGTTCTGCCAAGAAAGCAACCATGCTCTGATACTAGTTGTCACGGGGTAATTTTTCGCTACGCGAATAAACCCGTGCGGCAGCCTAGTCCCTCGCTAGACTCAGCCTTCCCTCGTTTATCCATTCATGTTTGCCTATTAACTAAGTGTTTCCCTCACCCGAGAAGTTTCCCCACTTTCCCATGTTAAAGACAAGCGGAATACACAAGTAGAATTGCTCTTAACCAAGCACACTGAGATTACAAGAATACCTCTCAACCTTTATTTATCTCATCAACAAAGGATTACACAACGTGTGCTATGCACAGAATTCGCATGCTACACCAACAAGTTTACATACGTTATTTCCTCTCTATGCATTCTATTCTCTATGTATTCTCCCTATACAACAAAGAATTATCATCACCATTTATAGCCAAGTATGTGAGCTGCAGGGCACCTCCATGATCCCCATATT